TGCCAAAATAGGGAAATGAAAATCACTGAACACACGCCAACTTTGGAAACCACAATGAGTTCTTAATAACCTTTAGTCATGTATTAATGGACTGAGGTGTAAGAAAAGGCCTTTTTTGAGTTACTAAAATTAAATGGCTGACATTGTGATTTTTAATTCACAGGAATACTTCTCTCATTTATAAAAAGACGCTACTTGAATATGCTCCAGAACATAGTAGTGTACCTGGGTATGTTGGCTCCCTCTTTCGGTCAGTATTAATAGTACAGGGGGGAAATTCAGCTCGATTGGACTCATCTTCCCTCATCATTACTTGAAAATTTAAGTCAAATTTAAAAAACGTGTTTATTTTCCCAGGCGTTTTAGTCACTTGTAGTCGGCTGTCTGTTCTGTCTTGGTGTCACTTGGTTATGGTCTTCTACTACTTGCTTTTAATTCTGGTAGTCGTTCTTTTACCTTCTGTTTTAATTTACGTATTGCTTTGTATTTTACTCTTTTATATTATCTATGTTTTTGTTTGATCTCAGTTTTACGTTGATATAAGTTTTATATTGCATTTTCTCTGTTTTAATTGTTTGTTTGTCTTATCTCAGTTGATTTTATTGTGCAGCATATTGGTTGACACTTGTCTTTTAAACGTGCTATAAAGATGACTGATTTTACTTCGCTCACGAGGACTTGAAATAGACACGTTTCCTAACAGCGGACTCTGTATACATCTTCTGTTGTTCTATATTTCCTACATAAACCTTCCAAACCTATCACAGTGGAATTGCCTGACGGTCCGAGGCCGATGACTTCGGACTAGAATCTACCTTGACGGTCGGTCAGGCCTCCCAAAGTTCATGCAATGTGAAAGATGGGAGCCGTGGGTAAAGCGGTTCCCTCTGATGGCCAAACACCCCAAGTCGGAGGTAACCTACTGTAATAGAATTAGCGCAGAATAATTTCAGACGCGAAATCAGGTCAGTGACCTACATCGTATCAGACACGCTGCGGTGCCTTTCATTAATGCCCAAGTTCACTGCTCTGTGCTTAAACCGGAGGCAGTGCAGTTTCGCTCTCCAGCTGAGATCAATAATGTCTCTTTTATATTTTTGAAGTCGTCACTACTTCTCCCAGTTTGACACCCCATCAGATCGCTGCATTCGCACTCAACCTTTTACTGACAGGTTTGGTGAACCTGCCTTCTCTAATACTAAGTAGATTACTACTGTTTTGATTAACACAGTTTGCAACTCCACGTGATTAAAATCGTATTTAATTATAACTATTGTGATATTTCTGAAATTAAGGTCTTCAAAAGAATAAGAAGAAAACGATCATTAAAAACAGACAATGGAGTAGTTTCCAGTGTCAGATTTGGAGACCCAAGGGGGAAAAAAAACATGCAACTATCACGTCGGATTCAAATGATTAAGCGCTTGATTATACGTTTATGAGCCGAGCCAGGTGTTTTAGTGCTTTCTAGAACAAAAACGTGCTGTCCCTTGGGTCTCTGGGACGGGAAAACGTAAGACTGAAAAAAGCTTTCAAAATAACAATGTACGAAAATGTATAATTTTGAAAACATGCAATTTCTTTGCTTGCAATTACAATATCCGAGCAGCAGGTGGCGATAATGCACAGTGTAAAAACTGGAAGTCAGAAAATGGACAATTGTTAAAACGCTTTCTGAAAGTCAAATAGTTGAACTTAGAGAAAAATGCTTTCATGCTAAACGACGGGGCCATTAGAAACACTAATGAACGATAGTGGGTGACATAACACAAAACATATCAACAACAAAGGATAAACTTGTGTGGTTTTTAATGAAGATAATTAGTATTCATCTAAACATGCGCTCAGGATACAACCAGTCAGTGTTTATAGTCTACAGCTGGTAGACAGCAACTTAATCCATCTTGTTTCATCTTCTACTGGCTGGCCAGTTTCTCGAATTTCATTATGGCTCGACGCTATTCATCTGTCCATTTTGAAAAATGGGCATTTATTCAGTCAGGATTTTCGTGACCTGATCTGTAGCCTGTGTCTGGAAGGTTTGAGTAGAAGACGGATAACCACCCCCAACAGGAGGCCAGTCTGTTGCTGGGTATTCTTACATACACACAGAGATTCACTTATATGCACTTGGTATGACTGATGTGTGGAAAAAACAGCATCCCACGTTTCGCCATAAGTAACAGCCAGTGGCAGTAATCTGAGTGTAACAGGGGCAGGAACCTCGCGCCATGGTAACCGTATCCCTGAGCGACCCAAAATGCTGTTCTGTCACGGTGACGGTGCCCTTAAAGTAAAGACATGGGTTAACACTGATGCCGTAACAGGAAATGTGAATGCACGATACAACGACACCATGAAATATTCATGAGAGGATCGGGACGCAGTTGTTGGGAGGGCGGTACTGTTCGCTCTCAAACATCTGCAAGCCTCATGCATGAGAGAGAGAGAGAGAGAGAGAGAGAGAGAGAGAGAGAGAGAGAGCCTTGTGACATGCAGGGATTACCCAGCGCGTCTCGATCCAGACGGCAACGCTCGCAAGCTATCAGAGAGAGCATTTCAGCCGGTTTTATCCGGATTCAATTATTTATGTGTCTCGCGGGCATCTGAAAAAGCACAACAATGAAATAGATTGTGCCGAGTCGGGGCCTGTCAAACCGCCGTGCCCTGTCTTTGTGTCAGCGATGTGATGAGGGTGCGACCGCGGCGTGGCTGCGGGACCGACTGAAAGGAGCAAGCACGGGGCTCAACCGAGAAGTATGGCAACCATGTGAAGACATGATTCTGGCTCTCTGAAGCTGCATGACTGGCTTAAATCTCACCTGATGACCCTCTTGAGCGTCTTAACATCCAGCTGCTTGTATCTGATGTGACTTCAGCTACTGACCTGTATATATATTTTTATTTAAAAGATAATTTACTGTAGCAATACTCTGCACAAGGGCAGGGCAAGCATGGCTATCCCAGGTCTTAGATATGAAAGACATCGCATGCATCATGCTACTATTCATACACACATCCTGCTTATCGTCTCCACAAAGGAATCATAGGAATCTGTACCCCTTCACCCAGTCCAATCAGTCAACACGTGAATTCCACAGATAGCATTATGTTTCTGTGTTAAAAAAAAAACAGTACATGTACAGTCTCAGCAAAAAAGGGTACCAGTTTGTACCTTTGTTACTGGGGCTGTACCTTACAATTTGGTACCTTTTAAGGTATGGAAATGGACCCCCCCCCCCCCCCTGAGGTACAAACAACATTAATGTGCCCCCAATGGTAAAAAAAATGTTCCTCAGTGTCTATTTCTGTACCTTAAAAGGTACAATTACCTTTAAGGGTAATTACCAGCTAAGGGTATATTTGGCAGACCCTTGAGGGTACAGCCCCACAAGCAAAGGTACAAATTGGTACCCTTTTTTTTCTGAGAGTATCCAAGTCACAGGACACCAACATCCCTATCTACCCGATGTTACAAACAGCTTGCCTCTGCCCATTAGATTTAGCCATAACCTAACAAAACATGAAAAGAATGTGTTAGAAATGCATCCGACTTCAGTTATCTCAGCTACAACATTTCTACATGCTGTTGTTTCACGAAAAAAAGGGGGCATTAATATTTCATTAATTCATTTCCCATTCTGCTTATCCATTTGAGGGACCTCCTTGTCTTTTGGCATTCAGTCTACGCCTTTTTTCATAAACCCTATTTAACGAGAAAAACAAACATGACCAAAAGCTTCCCCAAAGGCGCACTCACTCACGGCTTCTCCTGCTGCCATTGTTATCTAAAGTTCCCTTTTAAAATTTCAAACCTCTACAGGATTTCCTGCTTTTTTTCTGGGCCTAACCTTTGTCCTGGATTGTATTTATAAGGTATACCCACCTCATCAAATTACAGTTTGAGCTGCAAGGCTGGACTAAATGTACGAATATCAAGATCAAAGTGATACTGTTAAATAGAATTAAACCCAAGCAGTCTGCATGCTAACAGACCAGGCACTTGCTGTCAGGACGGGGGCAACTTTGCTGCTAGTCTCTGACCCCAAAAGTCACATGACGTACGTTTAGACCAGAGACTGCATGAGCTCAGCAGTGACAGTGGTAGGCTGGGTATTCTCAGTGTCTGTCAGCGAAGATGTTTTAATACTATGATAGTTCTCTAATCTCCTCTTTGGAGGTCAACAGCATGACTCCTCACTGATAACGGAGAGTTGCTGTTTGGCTCTGATAACCCTTGCATCCACATACTCTTTCCACGTTTTCTGGTTTACGGTGGACATTTTCTGACTGTACATTATCACTGACCAAAGAACAACTATGCAGAATGTATCTGGTAAATATTACAGACCTGAACACTGCATACCCTTTCTGCTTTGTGTGACTGACTTTGTAACAAATGAGCCACATTTAATCACTTTCGTCTGTGTCTGTATGTGGTGACAGAAATAGCCTACTTTGTTTATGGTGTCTAGATATTTATATTTGTTAATGATCTGTAGAACCTAATGATTTGTGGCTTACAGCCAGGATACAAATACAAAATTTTTCCACATAAATAATTTGGTGCTTTGGCACACCCACCTGTACATTACAGCTATACTATTTTTAAAAAGGTTTTTATATATTTAATTATTATCACTAAGGTGTTCTTAATATTGCAATGTGGTTGTTGTCGACAAACATATATATTTCCTATATTTCACCAGATAGTTTTGGATATATGCAGCTTTTATAATGAAATAAAATGCGTTTGCCACACATGGCATTTTTCAGAATCTTCTTCACGAAAGCAGAAACCTGTAAGCAAAACAGAAGAGCGGCGATAACGTACATATTACATTAATTAGTATATTTTAGGGCCAGTGGTGGCCTAATGGTTAGGGAAGCTTACTTGAATGCACGGCCAGCAAAGGACCACTGTGGTACCCTGTGTAAGATACGGTACGGTTCCCACCTACTAAATAATATAGCTGCTACGTCACATACGGGTTAAATAGCGACCCCACATTTTGTTGTTCTGTGGTGTGTCGACAATGACAATTGTATCGCACATTTTCAGTCTATTTTGCGGCGCTGGAGTAAATTAAAGCACGTCAAGGTCTAATATTGTTAAAATCACGTGCGATTGGAGGGAGGTGGGTGGTTGTAAGTGGCTCCCTTTTGCAGTTCGAAGTGCCAGCGATCACGCAAAACTTACCGAGGGGACTCCCCCAGCCGGCAAAATTTACTCTCCGCCATTCTCCAGTTCGAGCACCTGCCCCTCGAAAAGTCTCTGTACGGCAACGTGCTTAAACTTCATTAACCACCCCCGACCCAGCAAAGGACAAATGGAAGTATGGAGGGATAGAAGGATGGATGGATTGATCGATCGATGAACCAAAAAGGGACCAGTCTGCGTAGTACCAATGAATAGTAAAAGTATTTCCAAAACTTTCATGTTTATGTTAGCAAAAATTTAAGAATACTTCCACCTAATTTATAACAATACATTGAGATTTGTGATAACGGGATTCCTCTACGGAAACAATCAGCGCCCAAAAAACACCAGCTTGAAGAGATGCGATTCGGAACGGAGCTTCTCTAGGACCCGGGAGAGCCGACGTCTTCGCCCCACGCTGGCTTGGCTTTGGATGACAGCTCCCGTCTTTGCGGTGCTCGGCTCCACAGACGCCGCCGCATAAAGGATGTGAGGGAGCAGGAGGCTGCCGTTTTTCCGCAGCAAACGTGCGGCTCTGCCCACCGGATCCTGGAGTAGCCGCGTCTGATTGCGCCGCCGCATGACTTCGCCGTTTCCTTTCTCTGTAGAAGTGCAAATAAGTGGGATCTGCACGCTTTTGGACGGCGTTTAGCTGTAAACGAGGTGGTAACTGAACCCACTTCTTTTTACCTACAGCTTATTCACCTATAAGTCACTTCTTCGTTTCATCTGGTGAAAATTTGGTGAAGACACGACTGGCTGCCTGGTTCATTATCACGCTTTATCGTTGCGCTTCTCACCCCTGATATCCGGCATGCGTTCCGTGGCAAATGACAAATCTGAATCGACACATAAGGCTCTATGATTGGGAAGAAACTCACATTTGAAAATATTATCCGGGAAGGAAATACAGTCGCGATCCAGGCGAATTTGAGAAGCTTTGTTTGGTCCCGGCCATCGGGGAGCATCACTGACAATAGAGATTCGGCCCCACGCCGTGCGTTCAGAGCACCGGGGATGTCCGTCAGCAAAAGTATGGAGTGGGAGCACTTCGAGGAGCGGGACAGGACGCATCGAGCCTCCCGGGGGTCCGGTTCGGGCTCCCAGTCAGGCTGCAGGGGTAACGGTCTGGTACCGAGCCCGGCGCACAGTGCTCATTGCAGTTTCTACCGCACCCGCACATTGCAGTCGCTAACATCGGAGAAGAAAGCCAAAAAAGTGCGATTTTACCGTAATGGGGACAAGTACTTTAAGGGCTTGGTGTACGCCGTGTCTAACGACCGATTCCGGTCCCTGGACGCGCTCCTCATGGAGCTGACCCGGGCGCTGTCGGACAACGTCAACCTGCCCCAGGGGGTCCGGACTATTTACTCAGTGGACGGGACCAAGAAGATCACAAACCTGGAGGAGCTGGTGGAAGGTGAGCTTAATGCTTTGTTCACCGAAAGCACGAATGCTGCATAACAAATAATGACTTATCGTTTAATTGAACGGAAAGGCAGGTTTCATGAGTAAATAGCCGTTGCATACAGACATTCTGGACGCTATATTACCAAACCTATATAAGCAGTAATTAATATTGTACCACATATTTATCAGTATGTTGCCCGTGTCTCTCACAGAGATTTGTAGTTTTCCATAACTTTGCATTTAGTATTTTAGTGCAATACTATATTAAAAAACCTATACATTATCACAGCTGACGTGATAAAATAGCTCCACAATAAAGTCATAAATTGTGGGAGAATGATTAGCTGCGATATGCCTTAGGGTTACGTTATCGTTTCGTCTGTATCAGAATTAATCTTATGCAAGCAGCAGCCCGTGAAATTATCAGACACCCCCCGGAGTGACCCCGCCGGCGGGGGGCGCCTCTGACACAGGGGATCCGGGGCAGAAGGCAGTGCTACTCCTGCACGCGCAGCTCCCTCCCTTCATCAACGTGATTTATATTAATGCAGTCCCTTCCCCCGCAAATTGGGGCTGTCAGACGTTAAACGGGGGCGGGTTAGCTGTAAGATAAAAGATAAACCCTTCAGAATTACACCGGTACAAAGATGCGGGGAAGCTGAAGTAGGTAGATGTGGAAATCTGAACTGTCCTTAATCTTTACCGTATAGTAAAAAATGCGAACCAAGTATTTCGCGCGTAAGGATTCAATGGAAAAAGTATGTTAGTAATGCGAATACTTTTTATGAGTTGGTCAAAAAAAAATTTTTTAATGATTGATATTAGCAAACCTCATTTTGGGCAGCAGCGCCTGGCGGTCGTTTGCGGTGACCCACGCAGTCACCGAGGCTTCCTGTCCCGTCAGTCCACCGACCCCACACCCGAGAATCGCATTCCTCTCCCACTTCGCCCGACGTCCCGTTCCCTCTTTAGATGGCGAGAAATGTGGGTCAGTAGCCGTTTCCCCCAGAGGGCAGATTACATTGTTTATGGTCTACTTGGGGGTGGGGGTGGGGGTGGGGGGGGGGGGGCTTTTTACAGGGGGTGGCGCCGTGGAGTGTGGACGAATGTGGGGCTTTGGCTGCTTCTCCTT